AAGCTGCTCTTCATAATAGTGACAGTAACAGTAACAGCAGCTTTTTGACAAGTTTAAAGTTTCTTTAAAATACATTCAAAATGTTTAAAACTAAACTACAAAAATTAATTTGACAAAGTGCAAATTAAAATATAGTTGTATCTGCAACTGCATTTGAAAATGTTTTGAACTTTTAAAATATTACTTGGTAGAACCAGAAGCTGCACTTCATATTAGTGACAAACTTTGACATTTTATGATGGATTACCTTCATGTTTGCTTTTACTTCTCATTTAAAATAGGTTTCCTCTCTCTGCTGGTATCTAAGGTTCTTCTTCTACATATTAAAAAAGTTGTTAAACATCTGAGTGGTGCACTACCGATACTAAGGTGGCGCATGTGGGCCGCGGCCCATGGGTTAAGAATCTCTGCAATTGCTGGGTTGCAGTCACATGACCCAGATGACGCGTGAATGTCAGATTGGGGGGCCAGGAAGTGATTTGCTCTGGTTCAAAATAAAGCGAAATGGATCACAGTGAGTATGCTTATGCCCTAAACCGCAAATTCCCAGTCTGTGTTTATCACTGACAGTGGCAATAAAGCTCTTTCTGATTCTGATTCTGATTCAAAAATGGGTTGGCGCAGACAAGATATCACAAAAAATACGTGTACATTAGGATATGATTCATAATATCTTAATAAAAAAGACTTGTAATTTAATCTGGAGGATTTACCTGGTGTTGAGGCGATCAACATAAACTACTATCTGGTGCTGCAGACCTCATGTTATAGGCTACGACGAGTCAGATGAAAGCTTTCAAAAGCCTCAAACCCTAAAATTATTTTGTTTCAGGTTGTGTCAAACATTTAGGATCCAAAGAAACTTTAAATGTCTGTTGACTTGTTTCTGCCTGGGTGAGTTGTGCTATTTGCCYATGATARCAATRCTATCGCTAATGCTAACAACAAGTTAACTCCTGTTTTTCTATGTGCTTGGATCTACTTGCAAATGATTTATTTAGCTTCTGTAAACCCAAATTCCAGTAAATATCCAGGAAAATATCTGACAATATGATTTAAACGATACGATCCTGAGCTGTTAGAAAGTGGTCACTGCAAACTGTTGCACTGTTTGTTTCCACACCTCCTGTTTTTAGCTGTAGATTGTTGATCCACTTTTGTTCTATTTTTTTCTGCAAGTTTTTAAAATTTAACTTCCTTGTGACACACTACTTTTGGAATATGAAAAAAAAAACTTTGATATTTCTCCTGATTAGAGTGGCTGCAACAACTGTACACGGCACTTTGACGTTGAATCAACAGAAGGAAACATGACTTCATTTGTTTCCTGCCCCCCATCTGCATTTCATGACATCGATACTACATCATCTGCAACCCAGCAWTAGTAGACAACTTTATTGCAAGTGTTTTTGCACTACAAGCAGAACTGTCAGATAATTCAGTAAATCAAGCAAACCCATTTCCCGAGCTACCAACAGCAAAACAAGAAGTGGCACAATGGCTTACTGCAAACGTCAGAATCAGGGTGCCGTTATTATTATTAACTTTTATTAACTGAAATCTATCATAGAAAAACTACTTAAACCATTTTAGAGGTTCCTGTGATCCCAACATGTGCAATMATCTGTAATAGAAAATAATCATGCATACCACATTCTTACAATGTGTTWACCATTGGACCAAGTGTTAGTTGTTAAAGATTTCCTCAAAATCATGGTCATTTTAAACAACTTGATCCAAACTAAAGCTGTGTTCTAAAGGTTTTTATGAGCGTTTCAGATCTATTCAGAACAGGTTTTATATCTAGTATTTGAAGCAGTTTTCCTCAAGGTCTTTACTGTGTGAATCAGGAGAGTGGTGAAAGATAAAGTGTGTWAAAAAAACAACAACAGTTCTGGTTTTAGTGTTCTAGTTACACATTTCATTTATTAGGTAAATGTTGGGATTGGATCAGACTGCTGTTTTAGTAAATAACCCACAATAAAGCGTTTTATTACAGCAGATTACAAGTTGGTGTAATTGCAGGCCACGGCTTATTGTTTGCATGGAATTTTGTATCTACGTATTTTGTTAGATACAAAATCTTCATGTCCTAAATTTATATTTTATGCTTTACATGCTGAACAGTCCTGCTTACATGTCCCGTGTGTCCCTTTGCTCTGGCAGATATGATCAAGCTGCAGCTGGTGGAGGCAGGCCTGGTGGAGTGTCTGCTGGAGGTGGTAGCTCAGACCGTGGATGGAGAGCGGGAGGAGGACATCGCTCAGCTCAAGACTGCCTCTGACCTCATGGTTCTCCTGCTTCTCGGAGGTAAACTACAGGGTTTGGCTTTAGGCTCCATTGTCAGCTGGCTTTGTACAGATTGGAAGCTTTTACCTCATCATTCAGTTCCAGAGGTGTCTGAACACAGCAACACCGCTTTCAGACTATCTTATAGTTAGAACCAAACTGTGTAAATGGACTGTAYTTATATAGCACCTTTCTATCCAACCAGGACTCCTTACACTACATACAGCCTGTGTCCTCATTTACACATTCAGCCAGCAATCTACTCTCTACAAAGCTAAAATGATTAAATCGTTCTAGAGCAGGGGTGTCAAACTCATTTTCACTGAGGGCCACATGAGCGTTATGGTGGCCCTCGAAGGGCCACTTGTAATGAACTTTGATGTTTCATGTTTAACTTTGACTAAACAAAGTTTTAACATGTCCTCTTTTAAACACTGATAAGAACTAAGTGTATGACTGACTAAACCTGTAATAAATACATAAATATTATTAAAAGTAAAACAAATAAAGTTTTACTCACTGATGAGTTTCCAGTGAGTAGCTGCATTATGGCAGATTTAGTTTATGTTTGATGGTGACTTTAAAGCAGCTTATTTTCAGACATTAGTACTGTGCTAT